TTGAATTGATTAATTCATTATTATTTAAAATAATGTTATCTGTGTGAAATAATTGAATAAACTAAATATTATCTTAATGATTCAACGTTTGACAATAATGTTCAAAATTACATTGAATTTTATTGAATGAATTTCATTTAAAATAATGTTATATGTATAAGTAATTGATAAATTCATTTTGTTTTTTTCATTTTGAATATATATAATTGTTAAATCACTATCATAATTCAAAATATTTTTTATTTTTGTTTTAGTTTCATTTTCTATAGATACTTAAGAGAGTTTATATATATATTTATCTGATTAAAAAAATGAATACTCACCGTTGTCCCAAGCGGCTTCCTTCATTCGAAGAAGAGCAGCCAATCCAATATTATCTTTGGGCATAACTCGGTTGAGCATATTGTCCGAACCTTCGGCATTAGCCATTGCCAATTGATTGAATTCGACTAAATGCTCCTTTATCAAGGTGAATCTGTAAAATACATCAAAAGAAACAAAACAACAAATTATTATCAACCCTTATTTAATACTGAATACTTTTAGCTAAAGTGTTTTTTAGAAACATAATTGTTTATTATTATTGCGAAATATTATTAATCACACACATAGATTTAAATAATAAATTATGTTTAATAATTACAATTGTTACTTTCTTATATAATATAATTTGTTCATATGACAAAATTAAATATTACATTATTTTATATTACAAACAAAAACACTTATATGCGTTAATAATCCACGTAACTTTTACCAAACGCATATATGCGTCCATAATATTCAAAAGAATTAAATACGATACATTTTAAGTATCGTATACTTTAAATAAATATTTTTCTTTATAATTATTCGATTATTCTTTCTTATTTTCATCGATTCAATTTCCAAAAAACGTCATCGTCATCGTCATTTTCTATGGCGATATTTGTCGTCGGAAAAATCTCGTAAGAAAGCGTATCACGTACGAGATACTATGTGTGGGTGTGTGTGTATGGTGTAAAACCTGATTCCTTTTGCCGATATTTGTGGCACGTATAGTCGAGAGAAAAATATATTCTTCACTGAATCCCCATTACGAGCCATCATCCCTTGCCTCCCCCTCCCACCCTCCAACATCGAATCCCCCTCGTCATCCCTCATTCCACACAACTACCACCACCTTATCCCACCCCCATTCTTCGTTCTCTTATTTTTTTCTTCTTCCTCCCTTTTTTCCAACATTGTCAGGCCGTTATTCGCAAACAAGATTGAATCAATGTCACTCGCAGTTGCAGAACAGATGTGCTGAGATTGTATAAATACTCTTGGCAAAGATAAAGGTAAAGGGAAGACCCTTGTTACTTTGAAAATGATCGCAATTGTATATTGGAGAAAATGAAAATATTCTTTTATTAGAAGGAATTAAAGAAAGTAGGAAGATTCAAATTTATATATATATATATGTGTGTGTATTATCCATAAAATGTGAAATTGTTTAATTGATGAAGTAACTAATTCTATATCATGAAATGATTTTATTGATTAGTTAAAGTATTGAAGTATGAAAGAATGATTAAATATATTCCAATTGTATGAAGTTATGATAAAGTTCTATATCATCAAATAATTATATTGATTGGTTAAAGTATTGAAGTATGAAAGAAGGATTAAATATATTCCACAATTGTATGAAGTTATGATAAATTTCTATATCATAAGAATATTATAAAATAATTATATTAATTGGTTAAAGTATTGAAGTATGAAAGAAGAATTAAATATATTCCAATTGTATGAAGTTCTGATAAAGTTCTATATCATAAGTATATCATCAAATAATTATACTGATAAGTTGAAGTAAGTGTGAAAGAAGAGATAGAATTAAATATTGATTAATGAAGTAACCAATTCTATATCATAAAATAATTATATTGATAAATTAAAGTATTGAAGTATGAAAGAAGGATTAAATATATTCCAATTGTATGAAGTTATGATAAATTTCTACAACACAAGTATATCATAAAATAATTATATTGATTGGTTAAAGTATTGAAGTATGAAAGAAGGATTAAATATATTCCACAATTGTATGAAGTAATGATAAATTTCTTAATTATAAACTGTAAAAATATAAATTAAATTATTCAATATATTTCCATACGTATAAATCATATTATTAATAAGATAATTATGCGAATATGTAGCATATGTAATTAGAATCTAATGTTATAATATTGTTATTCGTTAAAAACTTTATAAAATTGTTTTATTTTATTTATTTAAATAAATCACACGAACGGTTGTTACTTTGGTTATCGATCGAACGTTACTAAACTTTTTATAAACACTTTGTCACTTTTCGTAACAGTATTATTAACAATAAGAATCTAATTCTCATAAAAAGATGACTGTTTACATATTTTCAATAGAACAATCAATAGGTCGATGTATTTCATATTATTAACACATGTTTCCCCTTAGAGAGTTAGTTTTCCATGGGATCTCGTCGAGGACGGTTGTTTTTAATAAAATTTCAACGAATTCACGAATTCGCGTGTAATATTGAAACGAAATAATATTTTTACTTTTTATTTTTAGTTTTCTCCTTCCTCTTCTCTCGACGAGTGGACAACGAATACGATATTTTTGTATTTTTTCTTTTTTTTTTTTACTTTTTCAGACATTTTTTCCTACTTCTTCATTGTCATCTCGTAGATTTTTTAATTTTTATTTAATTTTTTTCTAATTCTTGAATGAGGGATAACAAGCGTAAACAAATTCTTGTTAATTTTTATAAAAAGAGAAATCACATTTTCTTTTCTCATCTTTTATATATATGATACATACATGCACACACATATATCTATATATATATATATACATAAATATCTACACGTTAGCTGTTAACAGAAACCATTTGTGCACCGTACCCATTTCTGTCTCGTATCTTGTTATCCTCCAGAGATTTCGAGTCCGAGTTTACGTAATATTTTCACGAGATGCGTTCACAGTGCAACGTTTAAGATACTGCAAATGGAAAACTGCAGTTCACAACCGACTGTTTTGTGTTCGATAAAAAAAAATTTCTTTTCTTGTGTATTACGAGATTAGCAGTGAAAATCGTGATAAAGATATTTCATATATATTCAGTTGATTGATTTTACTAATTAGATTCTAATAACAAATTATATTTATTAATTAAAGTTTTTCTTTCTTATATATACACACTATACATTATTTGCATTTATATTGAAAAAATACAGTAATAATTCAAATTGGGAACTTTTACCAAACACATATAT